TTCAATCTCATGCGTCGTTGGTTCGATCCCATGGACAGGAATGAACGTATACTACTCCTGAGTGTTGTTAATGAAATAAACCATCACATCCATCACACCAAGTAAATAAAGAGTAATTGAAGAGTATTTTACCCTTCATATCATCAGTCCTGTGTAGATGTTTTGATCAAATTTTGAACGAGAGAGTAAAAAAAATTAAAAAATAACATTTATATATATATTTTTAAGGGGGGGGGAGGGTTATTTTCAATTTTAATACCTTTAGGACACCATATAGTCAATTTCTATCGGTATATCATGAATAAGTATCAATTTAATCAGTATATTTCATCTTGTTATTAATTTCAGGCTAGAAATTAATTTGTTTATCCTTGACGTCAAAGTTGATTCACCTGTTCGTCATCGGCTCTTTTATGTGTGGGAGATTAATTAGCTGTGTGGTGAGGTTTACCTCTGTTTGTTTACAACTGTAGGTGCGTCAATATCCGTCTCTCTCTCTCTCTCTCTCTCTCTCTCTCTCTCTCTCTCCCTCTCTCTCTCTCTCTCTCTCTCTCTCTCTTGTCTGTCTGTCATACCCCTTTTGCATTTAGTGGTTTTAATGAGTGAGGGAACAGGAAGAGAGAGAGAGAGACAGGGAGAGAGACAGAGACAGAGAGACAGAGAGAGCCTAACGTAATGGTGGAAAGCTTTCACAGTGAAGCAGCAAAAAAAAAATCTCAGTGAGAAAGAGAGAGAAAGAGAGAAAGAGGGAGAGAAAGAAAGTGAAGCAAGAATAATGGCCAAAAGCTTTTTCAGTGAGGCAACGAAAGAATCCTAGATATATAGAGCTTATAACCCAGTCATGTGTGTGTGTGTGTGTGTCTGTGTGTGTGTGTGTGTATGTGTGTGTGTGTGTGTGTGTGTGTGTGTGTGTGTGTGTGTGTGTGTGTGTGTGTGTGTGTGTGTGTCTGTGTGTGTGTGTGTGTCTGTGTGTGTGTGTGTGTGCAATATACAAATGACATACGTGCTACATTTAATATAAAACAAAAATCAGCAAAACAGTAATAAAATTAAATTGGCAAAGATTAAACACACAAATTATCTACAAGATGTTGATAATTTTTACGAGAGAGAGAGAGAGAGAGAGAGAGAGAGAGAGAGAGAGATAATAATTTTTCGACTTCCCTTAATCGCTGACCACCTCACACTGCACCTTCCACAAGCAAACCAATCGACTTTAATAATACAACCGACTGACTGTAGAGACGTGAGCCATGGCAGAACGTGACTCTTGGCTAACCTGCAGGTTTTCTAAAATGGATTTCCGGTGTTGTGTCGGTCGTGTCTGGCTGTAGTGACCACTTCTTTACACCAACCACTTCTTTATATTGACAACCTGTATCCTACCTGTGTCCACCTGTTCCTTGTATTTGCTGGAAAAGTTAACGGGGGAAATATGTGGCTCGGGTTACCTGTTGAGCTGAAGCTTGAAGATGCTCAGATGACGAAAGGTAAAAAGATGTTTCCAACGTCACTTAGGAGAGTTTTGTGAGACTCTACGTCCTTGAGAATATGTAATGCATGTTTTCAGTATTATGCATATTTGTTTTTGATAAATTTATACCAAAAGGAAATATCACTCACGTTTCACATATATTTTCGTTCATCATTGTGTTTTATTTTCTTTCGTCGATTTGTCGCGTGTAGCGTCGCTGGTAACGTGTTTGTGTGTTTTGCAGCTCTTCTATATTTCACTGAAGTTTCATTCTTAGTCGTTTATTTATCAAAGTATCTATTCAGAATCTATAAACAGCAACAACAACAACATTAATAATAATAATAATAATAATAATAATAATAATAATAATAATAATAATAATCCAAGCACACACAACGTCTAGCCAATCAAAAGACAATCTAACTGTAAATAGAGACTGTCTTAGCCAATCAGAGGTGATTCTTTTCCACCGACCCAGCCAATCGCATTGTGCATTCAATCTCAAGAGTGGCGGGAGATGTAGGGGACGGGCGGGGGCAGAAGGGGATGGGCGGGGGAGTAGGGGATGGGCGGGGAGAAGGGACTGGCGAGAGGCATTTTTCTTATCTTAGTTCACATTTAACGAACAAGGCTATTCAAGGGACAGTTTCGGATCTCTGCGTGTGCTGTCTGGCGAGAGAGAATCATTTTCGACTTCCATTAATCATTCTCTCTTTTAAGGTTGAATAAACGTACTATTAAAGACTTCCCTCCCCAGTTTAACCCAACCTTCTTTTAATTGACCCTAGTCATAATGGGGTTCGATATCTAATAGGCACCAGTCGTAATGAGGAAGAATATTAGTTGGGACCCGTCTTAATGGCACCCAATCCTAATGAGCCATCCGTCTTTACAGGGTTGAATCTTAATGGCCTTCAACTCAAATGGACTCGAACCTTTATTTCACCAGAGAATCATTCCACACCTGGTCATCCATCAATGTCTCTTATAGGCTAAAAAAAATATAAACATTCGTGGTGTTATATCCTGACTACTCACGAGGGTCGTCGCTACCAGATGTTCCTTCGTGACAATTAACTCAAGGTGATTTGATGAGGAAATGAAGTAGAAATCCAGACCTCATCTTACCTATTCATTGAGGATTTCAGTGTAACATTACCTTATGAGACACCATAACGTGGGGTCTTTGACAGGAGTAACTCGTCTAGGAATGAAATGAATGTGTTTTATCTTGTTGATTAATTAATTCTGTTAGTTTACAAATTTTACAGGTAAGATATTTTTTTTTACCTGATGTCATATTTCATGTTTGATTTAATTACATCGTCATTTGCCTCACACACACACACACACACACACACACACACACACACACACATACACTTCGCCTTCCTGCTAGCGTGATGGGGTGGCGTCAACTCTCGTCTCCTCCTTCCTGTCAACACACCACTGCATCATTAATTATCCCCCGTCCCATTACTTACTGTAGGGCTGTAAAGGATCCATGAATCTCTGTCCTTACACGCCCTCTGTCCTAATGATGTCCTTGTGTAACTTAACCAGATGGGACTGTCAACTATTTACATTAGCCCCTCCCCCCCCCATTAGAATTGAACCTCATTAGGAGTGGGGCTTATTAGAAGTAGGGTCCATTAGGATTGAGCCGAATTAGAATTAGACCCAAATCCTAATGGTCTTGATTGGGTTAGCGTTTAGGGTGGTTAATCTTAAGGTGATCCATTGTTGGTGTGAGTAAATATCTGACAATAAAACACTGGGATTTTTTTTTCTCTTGTAAGTCTTAATAACAACAACAACTCCGCCTTGCAATATACATGATAAAAATGGGAATAAACTGACATAATATTACCTCAGGGGAAAAAATAATTTGTTCTTGAGTGAGTGAGTGAGTTAATTACATTCTCTTCATCAGTCAGTCAGTCAGTGAGAAGAAAATGGTGCAATAAGCTGGTGGCGAAGCTTAACTGAGAACACTATACACAAATAAGCTTCAAGAAATTACAATATATAATACTTCACTTCAACACATCTCTCGCTTTACAAACAACAAATTCATAACAAAATATCAAAACTTTTCTCATAATTATTTTAGTCGTCAAAGTACAAAAAATAATAATTCTGATAATTTTTTCTTCATATTTCCTCAAAGATAATTTTAGTTAAATAATTACTGCTTTAATAATAGTTCACAGGTTAATATCTACATACATACATACATACATACATACATACATACATACATACATACATACTTACATAAGACGTATATACAACCTGTGTTTACGATCTCCACCCTGCAATTGAACCTGGACGTAACCCGGATCTAGTCATTAACAGTAACTTCAAAGCTACTTAATCAATAAACTTACTCCCCATTCACCTAATCAAGCTATTTATGGTAACTGTACCTGGAAGTAATAAAGAAACTACTAATGGTAATAGTTTTAATATTAATTGAGCTGAAATACTTATCAATACCCAGACAGGAAGTGTTTGAGGAGGAGAAACATGTGACTGTTGTTTGTGCTAAATATTTGGGAATAATAATAATAATAATAATAATAATAATAATAATAATAATAATAATAATAATAATAATAATAATAATAATAATAAGAGCAATAACAACTCTTCTCCTCCTCCTACATCATCATCATCATCATCATCATCATCATCATCATCATCATCATCATCATCATCATCATCATCATACAAATATCAACAACTAAAAATCAAAATCAAACAGTAACAAGGTCAATGTCCATTAATCCCCTGTTTAAGGTCACGCTATCATTATATCGGGTAATTAGGTCATTAAATGTCATGATTATTAGCACAGCTGTTCCCTAATGACCTAAGTTACCAGATCAACCCTTTGTGTGTGTGTGTGTGTGTGTGTGTGTGTGTGGAAGAAGTTCGAGTCCTTGGGTCAAAATGTTCTTATTTCTTAACCCCCCATGTCCTTCCTCACCAGCCAGCACCACTCAACTCAGGTCCAAGTTTAGTTAAGTGGCGTCACCCAGCCTTCACCTCTCATGCACCTCAGGGTTCAGAGTTACCCCAGGAGGCTTCACTAGTCACTGCGTCGTCTCTTGTGTTTGACAACCTCGGTGACGACTTCTACAGGTGGTGACTCTGATGTTGTGTTGATATATACGATAATAAAAAAAAAGTATTTTCGTTGTTTTGGCTATTTTTGAGGGGTGCTTAAATCCGTATTTCTTGTTATATTTTGTAGTTATCTGCTTCTGTGTATAAAGTCCTTAAAATGATTATTCTATGTAGCTCTATGTCTCTCTATATATACCTGTATAGAACAGCAGGTATTAGTAATTATTAAAAAGAGTCAAAGGTCTTTATCAGGGAAGAATCACATGACTCGGTGGAATCAGATTGGACATTGGGAAAGAGATTGAAGAAGGAAATGAAAACGGAAGAGAAAATATAGAAAATATGAAGGAAATAATACCGGGGTGGGGGGGGGGCACCACTTACCACTTACCTCCCACAAGACTGGCGTTCACTTAAGTGGAGTGGAGGAGAGAGACAGGCCACTGGTGAACTGAGGAGACTTGAGTTAAGGAAGAAGGTCTTGTTAGCTACCTCACTCATCTCAACTCATCTCGACTCATCTCTTACTTGGTTATTGTAGGAGGCATCATCAGCACTCAGGTAGATTAGACAGATGGCACACAGTGAGAGGGACTATCCTTGAGTGTAATCCAGAGTACAATTATAGTTCTAATGTATCATTGGTTCATTGGTTCACTAATGTCCCACTGCTTCATTTATCTCATAGTTATATTTCACCTTTTCTACAGTATATTCGTCTCAAAGAACATATTTGATTCTCACTTTATATCTACACAACAAACACTTAAACACTTATTGACACTCAAGATATCGTAAAAGTTTGTCTATTTCACCCGATGATTCAGTAATTGTTTCGAATCAGTGTTATTTGATTCGAATTGCAGTCCGCTTTGAGGGAGAATTGTCACAGGTGAATTGAATCCAACAAGAAAATACAACTTGGTTACTTAGATCGCCTTCCTGTTAATTACCTGAGATATAGGAAGAGAATAAATAATATTACTCTCAATTAACATATTCTCATTAGTTAGTTGAATAAATTACCTGTGAACACCTGTGAACGAACACCTGAGGGTAATACAGGTACAGGTAATCGCAGAGGGAAGCAACAGTTGGACGTGTATGTATGTATGTATGTATGTATGTATGTATGTATATATGTATGTATGTATGTATGTATGTATGTATTCTAATGATTTATCGTCCAGGTGCCTCTCATGATCCTCAAACCTCATTAATCTAGTTTTAAATGAGGATAGCGAGACGAGGAGTGATAACCTAAGGACAGGTGAATGAAATAGGAGATTAATGAAAGTGTTTTACCGTCTGTGTGTGTGTGTGTGTGTGTGTGTGTGTGTGTGTGTTCATCATGTTTTCTTGCTTAATATCTTATCCTTGTGAGGAGGCGGGTGTGAAGGTCATATTATACAGACATTAAGACGGTAAAATAGATGGTAGGAGTAGTAACGTAAAACAAACATTAAAATATCAAAATGAACCCTTGAAATGAACCCAAAACTGAACCCCCTCCGAACCCTCCGAACCCTCTGAACCTCTCCGAACCCTCTGAACCTCTCCGAACCCTCTGAACCCCTCCGACTCCCTTTGTCCTAAGTTCGGTCGTGTTTGTATCTGAATGTATGTTAGTATGTATGTATCTAGGTGTTAGTTTTTGTGTATATATGTAAGTGCTCGTGCCTGCGTGTATACTTCTGGGTAATGATGTGTGGCAGCGTGTACACAAACTGACTGGGCCGTTTGTTTGATTAATACGGTGAGTGTTTGTATCAGCTTTTGATCTGATAAATAGACAGACAGACAGACAGACAGACAGAGACATTTCAAGTACTAATATTCATGAATTATTGAGGATATAAAGTTGTAAATTAATAAATACATTCGGTTTAGGTTATTCATAAGTAGTATTTTTAATGTCCTTTGATTGATGGTAAATTACACACACACACACACACACACAAGCACACACACACACACACACACACACACACACACACACGTAGTAGGAGAGTGGAAATTGGGTCCTAGAGGCCTGAAGAAAGAGCTAAACCAAATGTAGAATCTATTGACTCCTCCAATAAGTTATATTTTTTATTATTATTACTTTTTAGCGGAGATTAAGTAACACAAATGACCTCTGGGGGGGGGTGGGGGGGGTGAGGTGACCGTTTGGGGTAGAGAAACTGATTACGGATTTAAACTGATTATTGTGGGATTAAATCTGTCTATGGGGAAGGATTTTTATAAGGTAAGTTCAGAAAAAAAAAGAGATTTCTCGAGTGCCTTAAGTATTACCCTAGGATTAAATCGGTTATGGGGAAACTATTACATGACAAATACAGATAATTACAGTATGGATTTATTAGTAACATTTAAAGGGATTAAAGATTGTGTTTTGTTTTCAGATAACATCAAGAGGACAACAGCCGGGAAAATAATGTAAACACGAATAATAAAATGGTTTTACGAAGAACATAGACGTTGGCTTAAGGACTTGAGGTAAGATATTTATGTTGACTTTAATTAGGGAGAAATAGAGAGATCCATCCATCCTAATTTACATCCATATACAAAGGAATGACCTAGGTGTTGTATCTTAATGTAAGGTTGTAAGTCAATTGGGCCCCAGTCAATATAGGCCCCAGTCATAACAGGCCCCAGTCATAACAGGCCCCAGTCATAACAGTTAGGATAAGTGGTACACATTAGGATTGGAACCCACTCTACCAGTCTCACTGAGCAGGGTGAGGAGAGGGTGAGGGATGAAGGAGAGGGTGAGGGAGGAAGGAAGGAAGGAAGGAAGGAAGGAAGGAAGGAAGGAAGGAAGGAAGGAAGGAAGGAAGGAAGGAAGGCGAGAGCGATCTGTTCCACCAGTCAGAGTCACACACTACAACAGGTGGGCGGTGAAACTCTCTCTCTCTCTCTCTCTCTCTCTCTCTCTCTAACACAGACAGAGAGACAGACAAACAGACAGGCAAAAAAAGAGACAAATACAGACAATGATAAATACAAACAGACAGACAGAAAAGAAACAGAAATACAGACAGCCAGACAGAGAAAAATACAAAGAAAAAGACAGACAGACAGAGAAACAGACAGAAAAATTAGACAGAAATACAGACAGAGAGAAATACAAACAGAAATACAGAAAAAGAGAGAGCGAAAACAGCCATCACGACACTTCCAATAACATTACCCGCAAGTTAACAGGTAATCATATACTTGACAGCCTCTCACCCATTCACGTCCACACCTTTCCCACCACTTACTTAACGAGTAATTAACTGCCATTAACACATAACAAACTCCTAATGACATAATCCATTCATGATTCAACAACAAACTCTAAACAATGATGGGTTAAAATTTGATGTTTTAAAATTTCAGGTAATTACAGGTGAAATTTTAATTAGTGAATCGAAAGGTATGTTCTTGTTTGTTGTTTTATATCAGGTGGTTTTAGTTTTATGTACAAAAGTTGGGAAAATTAAGGAAATTTTAGATATTTTGGGCAAATTTGGGGAATTTAAAGTAATTTCTGGGAGATTTTTTGGAAAATTCTGAAAATTTATGGAAATTCTACCATTCGATTCCTTAACTAGATTCAGGATTGAGGAAAAAGATAATATGTTCAAATGTTCACCACATCTAAGGCAATTTCACAATGTTCAGAAACAAATATACCTACACAAGCGTCGTTAAAGAACAAAATGAGAACAAAAATCAAATGTTCAACAAATCTGGGAAAAGTTCTCAACATTCCTAGACCACCAACGATAACAATATGAACAAAAGTTCGATAGAAGTTCAAAAGAAGTTCCAACAAGTGTATACACAATCATCAAAATAAACAAAATATGTTCAAACAAAAAGTTCAATACATCACTAGTAAGACTGAAACACCCTGGATGGTTCACTAGTAAGTCTGAAACACCCTGGATGGTTCACTAGTAAGACTGAAACACCCTGGATGGTTCACTAGTAAGTCTGAAACACCCTGGATGGTTCACTAGTAAGTCTGAAACACCCTGGATGGTTCACTAGTAAGTCTGAAACACCCTGGAAGGTTCACTAGTAAGTCTAAAACCCCCTGGATGGTTCACTAGTAAGTCTAAAACCCTCTGGATGGTTCACTAGTAAGTCTGAAACACCCTGGATGGTTCACTAGTAAGTCTGAAACCTCCTGGATGGTTCACTAGTAAGTCTGAAACACCCTGGTAACTCACTAGCAAGTCTGAAACCCCCTGGATGGTTCACTAGTAAGTCTAAAACCCCCTGGATGGTTCACTAGTAAGTCTGAGACCTCCTGGATGGTTCACTAGTAAGTCTGAGACCTCCTGGATGGTTCACTAGTAAGTCTGAAACCTCCTGGATGGTTCACTAGTAAGTCTGAGACCTCCTGGATGGTTCACTAGTAAGTCTGAGACCTCCTGGATGGTTCACTAGTAAGTCTGAAACCTCCTGGATGGTTCACTAGTAAGTCTGAGATACATGGTGAAGTTTCCAGGGCTGTCGGGTCTGCTAGGTTGTTAACGATGGAGAGAGAGAGGAATTGGGGTTGTGATTTTGTGAAGGTTGTGGTGGAAGGTGAGAGGTTGTGGTGGTGAAGGAAGAGGAGGTAAATGAAAATGAGGTTATGTGAGGTTATTGGGAGGTTATAAGGAAGTCTGGAGGTTGTAGGTTGTGGAGGTGTCACTGAGACTCTTACGAATGCTGAGAAAATATCAACAAAAGAAGTGAGTCGAGGTTGACCGGAGGTTCTGTGAGGTTGTTGGGTGACATAAAAAGTAGGAGGAAGGGGGGAGAGGTTGGAGGAGGGGGAGGAGAGGTTGGAGGAGGGGGTTAGAGGTTGGAGGAGGAGGAAGAGGAGGAGGAGGAGAAGGAAGAGGAGGAGGAGATATGGGAAGAGGTTGGAGGAGGAGGAGGAGAGGTTAGAGGAGGAAGAGGAGGAGGAGATAGAGGAAGAGGTTGGAGGAGGAGGAGGAAGGACCTGGCGGTGTTGGGAGTCTCACAGATCAGAGAGGTGGAGCGCACAGACGATGGTCCACCGCGCACCGTAGCCCAGAGTTAACTGCTGCCGTCTCTTCTCTCTCCCTGACTCTCACACACGTACCTTCCTCCACCCTGTCCCTCCCTGCCTCTCCCTTCCCCTCCCTGTCTCTCCATTTCCCTCCCTGTCCCTCTCTGTCCGTCCCTTCCCCTCCCTGCCTCTCCCTGCCTCTCCTTATCCCTCCCTGCCTCTCCCTTTCCCTCCCCTGTCCCTCCTCTGTCCTCCTTCCCCTCCCCTCTCCCTCCTGCCTTTCCCTTGCCCCCTCCCTGCCTCCCTTTCTCCCTCCCTGCCCTCCCTTTCCCTCCCTGTCCCTTCCCCGTCCGTCCCCTTCCCCACCCTGCCTCTCCTTTCCCTCCCTGTTCCTCTCTGTCCCTCCCTTCCCTCCCCTGCCTCTCCCTGCCCTCCCTGCCTCCTTGTCCCTCCCTGCCTCTCCTTTCCCTCCCTGTCCTCCTGTCCCTCCCTTCCCCTCCCTGCTTCTCCTTGTCCCTCCCTGCCTCTCTTTCCCTCCCTGCCTCCTCCCTCCCTGCCTCCCTTTCCCTCCCTCCCCTGCCTCCCTTCCCCTCCTTGCCCCTCCCTTTCCCTCCCCTGCCTCTCCCTTCCCTCCCTGTCCCTCTCTGTCCCTCCCTTCCTTCCCTGCCTCTCCCTGCCCCTCACCCTCCCTCCTCCCTCCCTCCCTCCCCTGCTAATGCCTCAACTATCACCCCACTCTCTCTCTCTGTCACCCACCACACCCATTCGAATCATCCAACAACCCTGTACTGTCACCCACTCTCAGTCATCTATCTTTGAATCACCCACACACACACACACACACACACACACATTGTCCCTCCCACACAAACACTACCCTCCTCCCCCCCCCCACACACACTGTCCCCTCCCCCCTCACCTTATCAAAATAAAGTAAATTCCCTCACGGCTAAAACACATAACAAAATACGTCCTCCCCTTCCTCTGTTATTTAGTGAGTCATCAGAGAGTTTACAACACCCTCAGACATATTGCTATACTGAGGCAGGGAACAGGACAGTCCCCCCCTAAACCACACAAGTTTTCTGTTATCACGGATATTTTTGGTCGCTGAGGTAAAATTGAACCACGAAAGTATGCAAATCTTCTTATTGGATTATGTGTGGGGAGGGTGTTTTTCTTCATGCTTTTACTTGATCAATTTTTCTTTCGTTCGTTTGTTCTCTCTCTCTCTCTCTCTCTCTCTCATTAGGGACACCTTAATCCACCAGAACCTTGTCAATAGGATTAACCCTAATGAGCCTTGGAACTCAGGATTACATTATTAGGCTAAAAGTGATTGGCGATTTTCCTGGAAAAAATAACATAAGCAGTCGTTCAATAATTAGGAAACGTAAACAATCCTGGGAAAACAAAACCAGATCAAATTTGGCCTTTTTTGGGGCTATTTGGGGGCAATAAATAGGTAGCCCTTCTGGACCTATGAACGGGACGGCTACGAGTGGATGGGGTAGGGAATTGGAGAAGAGAGGGAGGGGAGGGGGAGGGAGGGGAGGGGGGAGGGGAGGGAGGGGAGGTGGAGGTGGGAGGGGGAGGTGAGGGCAAGGGAGGGGAGGGGGGAGGTGGAGGGGAGGGGGAGGGGGAGGTGGAAGGAGGGGAGGAGGTGGAGGGAGGAGGGGGAGAAAATTACCTGTATATTAATTAAATATTATTGGTACATATTACTCACACATTTAATGTATCTAATTATTCAGAATATTTAATTATTTATTCATTGGTATATTAATAACATAATTAAGTAGCCAGTTAGTTGTTTCTCATCATTAGTCATCATCATAGTCATCATCATAGTCATCATCATTAGTCATCATCATTAGTCATCACCATAGTCATCATCATAGTCATCATCATTAGTCATCATCATTAGTTATCACCATAGTCATCATCATAGTCATCATCACCATCATCAAATTCACCATTCTCTATCCAGGATCAAAAGTTACTAGCCAGAGATAAAACAAGTTACTAGCAACACCCAGCCATGGAGGTACAGTGTGTTTGAGCCAAGTTTCCAAACAATTTACTTGATCCTTACGAAGATAAAACTTACTTCATTACAGACAAACACTCAGACAGACACTCAGACAGACACCAAGACAGACACTCAGACAGACACTCAGACAGACACTCAGACAGACACTCAGACAGACACTCAGACAGACACTCAGACAGACACTCAGACAGTCACTCAGACAATAAAGGAACAAAAGACGATCATGGTGTTAAATCGAACTAAAATTACCCAAATATATATATACTATTTTTATATTACGTAGATAATTTCTCAATATTGATAAAAAAAAATGCCAGAGTCTTACAATCTAGAGACGAACTGGGGTTTAAAAATCTATATAAATTGTAACTAAAAGCAAATTCCTCTAGTGAGTTGTAGTCCAAAGGCTAACAGAGATTCAGAAAGCAGTTAGGGAAAACTTTTTACCTGCTGGAACCGAAAGTAAAATGACTCTCAATAGCATTACTTCCCAGGATGATGTTGAAGTTTGTGCATAGTAATTCCCGGCTGAGGTTATGGGATAAATTTTTCACCATATTGGACAGATAGACAGAAAAACAGACAGATAGACAGACAGACAGAAAACACAGACAGACAAAGAGACAGACAGAATGAGCTGTTGGCAGGTATACGAATATTGTTCCAATTATATTCCTACCTTTGCTTACGTCACATAATACTAAGAATAACACCATAAATATCCCTGAGTTATATGCACATTATCATTAAAGGTCGAGCATAGGTCAGAAAGGGTTTTTCTTGGCTTAGATAACGAGGAACAATGGGGGAATCCTACACAGACCAGTGACCTCTTTCTTCCCTCGTGCATGGCTGCCGCTAGTAGATGTCTGTTGGGTAAATAAGGTAACTAGGTAGAGATATTGAAGGGAAAGTGATGCTGAGGGTAGACAGATACAGTAGTGGGAATAGGTGGGATAGTCTTGTATACCTGTCCTGATACACCTGCCCTGATACACCTGCCTTGGTACACCTGCCCTGATACACCTGCCTTGGTATGACCTGCCCTGATACACCTGCCCTGATACACCTTTTGTCTGTCTCTTACTCTAAATTATTGAACGTTTTCCTCAGGGAATTAAAACTTTACTTGACTACTTCAGGTATAACTGAAAGTCAAGCTGATACATTGAGCTCGTGAGGACCCATATTAGAATTGATCTTTGCTTAATAGATTGAAATAAAACATTTAATCTCAGCTAAATATGTCTTGAACTTTTTTATAATATCGTAATAAAAAACCCAATGGTATATTTCCCAGAGATATATCGAGGTTTAGTATAATATTACAAATAATAAACGCTGAATACCTGTGTCAGAAATAGTTCTTGCGAAAGGTAAATAGATTAGGTGGTTGTGTTTGTGTGGGAACTCGACGTCGTCAAGGTGGATGGTGATCGATGAGAAGGCTGAGACGAGGACAGAGAAAAACGAAATGATCGGAAAACTTTCTAATTTGATCAATGGAAAAATTTGCATATCCGATCGTAAGGCGAAGTGATGAAAAAGTTAACCATGGACTCGTGGATTGTTAAAGGGCTAAAGGGGGCCATTTTGAACATACGACTTATTTTGGGAGAATGCATAGAGTGCAAATGAGGAGTAGTAGTAGTAGTAGTAGTAGTAGTAGTAGTAGTAGTAGTAGTAGTAGTAGGAGTTTATAAATAATATTATTACCCATATAATCATTATCATTATATCTTTATGATCTCTCCACTTGACCCTCTCAAAACAAAGAAAGCGGTCCATGACAAACACAGCGAAAAACATCAAAGGCAGAAGCGAGCAAAATAAAGATTTCTGTGATGAAACGAACCTAGTCGGGGCTTTGAAGTATTTTGGGGACACTTAATCAATTGTACCTGATTTAGGATCCCCGCTAGTATCTCAGTGCCTGAAGGGAAGAATAACTTTCGCGGGTTTTTTAAGGAACATGTGTATAAATGTGATTAAAAACTAACGTGCACAGAGTAATTGACTTTATAAATAGTCTAAATATCTCTAATTGTTTAAAATGTCATTAATTAACACTAATTACTTGAGTTTTTAAATGACAAACCCAAATCCATAATCAGCATGTATATTACCTTATTCTTATGGATAAATTAGTAAACTCTTTCTTATCTGTTATCGCCTCTTTGCCGGAATACAAGTGAGTATGATAAGGTTTTTCACTGTTATGATCTTACAGGGCACAACATTCGACCTTTCAGCAGTCTGGTTCAAGTCAAACACCGTCCATTACAACGC